ATATTTTTTTCTTTTCAGGTAAAACATTTGCGGCGTTGTGACGAGGGCCGTCGTGTGCTTTCATTCTGCACATGCCTGGCAACACTGGCACCTGATGGTGTGTATGTGTGTGTGTTGGAGAGAGAGGTGTTGCCATCCCTATCGCTGTCTGCCTCACGCACACACGTCCCCGACAGACAAGAGGTTTTTGAGGTGAGTTAGCCTTTTGTTAGCCGATCCGTCGTCTGGTTGGCTGCTCCCCAAGCTCCCCCCTCCCCAACCGCTCGCTCTGCTGCTGCAGACTCACCCTGCTTCCCCTCGTCCCAACCCTGGCCACCGCTGGTCGTCCCTCTGCCTGCCTGACCAGGCCCGGCAGCCTCACAGACGCGCACAGTCGCCGTGCACCCCTTACTGCAGCTGGGCCAGTGGGACAGCCATAATTGTTTTCACTTTTCTCCCTTTTTTTTGCCCTGCTGGCTCTTCTTCCCCCGGGGACCTCTCTTGCCGTTTCGACGCGCAATCACCGCTTTCTTGAGTTGCACACCCTTTTGTGCTGGTCATTATGTGAAGTCCCCGCAAATAAGAAACCTGTGGCGGCGGCAGGGTCCTCTCCGAATGGAGTCACTAGCGGTGGGCTGGCTGCCCTTTTCCTGTGACCGAAAATGTGTGAATGGACCAGCCACCAGTCGCGAGTCTATTAGGTAACTAAATGTGCCGGTCTGCAGTCTACATGTGCCGCAAGCACGTCCCTGAGACACGGGGCGTTTTTTTTATGTGTAAATCTTTCTGATCGTTACTTTGGATCGCACGTGGTAAGAAGGATCACAAAGTTTAGGCTGTAACAAGTTTATCAAGTTGTAGTAGGTGAGCACTTCAACCGTGGAGACTAGACTTGAATTGGCTTAAACAATAAGTCAAAATAGATACAAACTTTGAAAAATCCAGTACATTTTCAATTCGATGGACATATTTGATTTAAATTATACATCATTTAGTTCATACTACAAGGAAGTTTTTAGTAAGCTCCAAGACATCAGATATCGTTGGACCGAAATTAGCCAAAGCCGATTCAACACTAATAAATTCAAAATTGAAATTGCGAACGCATTGAAAAGCTTGCAAAAAATGATGGTTTGATGGGAATGTGCACGATCTTGAGGGTTCTGCTCGCCCGTGCGTGGGTGTCGATGTGACCGATCTCTCTTCGCGTGTGGCGCCCGCCCCTCCTCCGCCTGCAATAAGGCTGGCCAATTTGTCCGCCTCGGCCATTTCAATTAAATCGAAATAATTACAAGCCTCAGACGGCAGTTGTAGTGGCCGGGCTGCTCACCGCACGCTACACTCACACACTCACCACCCCTCCCGCCACCGCCACCGCACGCGCCGCGCTGCCAACCTTACTAAGCACGACAGGAGCGCCCGCACTTGTCCCACCCTGCGCGGCCCACCGAGGATGGCAGAACTGGTAGGGCCGATCGCGTGCCCGAGATCCCGGGGTCCTTTGCAAAACAATCCTGACCCAGTTCGGCGCACTGTCAAAGTTTACGAGCGGCGCTCATTTTCGGATTGTTACGTTGGCAGCGAGTCGGCCTACCGCTTTGCCCCGCCCTCCCCCACCCCTCCCTTCCCTGCCGCCCTGCCGCCGGCGGCCGGGCCGCGCCGCCAGCTCCCCCTCCTCCCTGAGTTACGAGTCAGCCATCAAAATCTGGAGCCTCTCCCTCCCCTCCACCACCGGGCGGGCCCCCCTCCCCGCTCCGCCGCCGCTCCGCGCCCCGCGCTGCCTTCCCCCTCCCCAGCGCTCTCCCCTCCCCCAGCCGGGTCCCGCCCGCCTCCCTGTGGCTCAGCCTGATTACGCGTTAGGCTTAGTCCGGCGGCCGGTTTTCATACATGCAGATGCGAAATATGGAAGAGGGAGAAGGAGCGACGCGAAACAATTGACGTCGTCGGCGTGCTGCAGTCTGCTTTTGCCGCGCGTGTGTTTTTGTGCCTCGGTGTTGTCATTTGCCTCCCCGAGCCTGCTTGCTGGCCTGCTTTGGCTCGGCCGGCGCGCGCGCGCGCGCCCTCAGTGTGTCGTTTGGCGCGCAGGCGTGCTGGAGCGCGGCGGGAGCGCACGTGACGGTGCGAGTGACAGTGAAAGTGACCGTGACAGTGCTGTGACAGTGAAAGGGTTGTGACGGTGAAAGGGTTGGGACAGTGCTTGTGTGACTGTGTGCGCGTGCGGTGCGCCTCGTGTGATGTGGCCGTGGTCTTCGGATGATTTTCACAGTGAGGATTGATTCAGAGTCTATACATCCGTGTGGCTTTTACTATTGTAGTTGCTGTGTTGCTTTTTTGAGTGCGTTAGTTTTTTACTGCTACTGCTGCTACTGCTTTGTGCTGCTCTTTCGTGCAAGATGCGCCGGCGGCGCGGCTCTAGCTAGCGCTGCCGTCAGTGTTATTTGAGTATTTGTGTGCTTTACGTTGGGATTTTTCACTTCTTGTGTCGTGGGCCGAACAATAACTTTGGATGGATAACGCTTCTACAAGTAAGTGGCTTTAAAATATGTCAAATGTCAATTTTATCCCACTTTTGTTACTTAAAAATTTTACCCAGTGGAATAGAAATACGTGCCATAACATCCTCTGGTGTACCACAGTTCTCTGCAAGTTTACTGCTGAAACTTATTTATGATTTTATTTTGGTAATTATTGCAATATTATTTTAACTGGCCTGTCCTTTTACCGACTCTAATCTTAGTCTTAAAAGACCCCAATTGAGTAGATTCCCTATTGCCATTATAGCCTTCTCCAGTTTTATTAAATGCTTCTCGTAAACTTACTTTGACGCGGAAATGATCGATTCAAGACAAATTATTAGAGTTATAACTAATGCCTCACTTTATTTTTTTTAGTACCTTTGTATGCGCGTTTAGCGTTTGTTTGGCTACTTTAGTGTGATGTAGAATTAACGCTGTCATATTTTTTCCCCATGGGACAGGAAATCGTCACTCCCTCTCTAGTCGTGCGCCCCTGTGGTCGTCAGGAACACGCGCCCCAACCTGCCGTAAACACCCGTGCAGTACCGCCCCGTGCAAATAGCAGGGGAGGGGTGGTGTGGGTGGGGTGAGGGGGAGGGGGACGGTGTCCTCCCGGGCCGGGGCGGCCGCGGGCGACGTGGGAGGGAGCGCGCGCGTGATGCTTTATGAACTCCTAAGAACCCTCGCATTGTCTCTGTCGCACTTGAGCCGACCTTTGCGCCGTAAAGCGCGGCTCAGTCGGCGCGTAACGTGTCCGACATCACCCCAAAATGGCGCGCGGCGGCGGTGGCGGCGGCGCCGCTTCGGAAAATGAAATTGTTATCGATCTTCCAGCGACGTCCGCTGTGTTTATCTTTGCCACCCTCCACGGAGGGCTATCGTCCCCACGACACGCACTTTTTTCATTTTATATATATACGGTATCTCTTCTTTCTTTTTTTTTCGGCCTGCCCTGCCCTCGTAGCAAGTATCTCGAGGGTCATTCTTCGAGGGGGCGCTCTCTGGCGCTTGCTATTGATAAGAGGAACGAGGTGTTTGCCGGCGATTCTGTAAGAAATACGGCCGTCTGTATGAATTAAAGATCGCATATAGCTGCTGTGTTGGGTCGCAAGGTCTTCCAATATTTTGTTTCGCTTTTTTTTCCGGAGTCGTATTTTCCCGAATGTCGCGTCAGTGATGTATCGCGACCTACTATAAGTTTTTTCTTCTGCGAGTCGTGTGCGATAGGAACGTCATCGGGAGCACGTATCTGTGGGGGAGGAACGGTTGTTGCAGCGCTTTTAAGACGAACGGTCTTCCGGAGAACTGAGTCAAAGAATACGAGCACGGAACGATAGAAATCTTAGAAAATCAGATGTTACATCCAAATCTGTTAAATCGTTTGACAGCACACAAATGTTTGTCAATGTATTGTCCAAATAAATCGTTACTGTTGTTAAATTTTGACTCAAGAACATTTCAGGAAGCCCCGTGACCGTATATTGTGTGGCAATATGGACAGTGTTCTGTTCGGTTGAGGTTGGCACATGGTTTTAAAGACGCTGCGCTGAGAGAACAAACCACCCTACCTGCACTACAAGTGAAACGCCGGGGCCGCAGTGCATCACTCACCGCGGCCCTAAGTGCCACCGCACCGGGGTGGGCCGCCCGGCGGGGGCAGCGCTTGGACCCCGACCAAACACATATTTTACTAACCGTAGACTTAAGCGCTGGCCAGCCCAGCCGGGCGCTTGCTTCAAGCGCCGGCGCAGGTGTTTATTGTGCTGCACCTTCGCCGGCTCCAAGAGCTCCCAAGAGCGCGAAAAGGCCGATACGATGAGGCCGTTATGACGCTTAAACATGGTGTTCTCCATTTCGCCCGCAGACATGAGTTGAACGTCATCGTATGATCATCTCGTGCGCGCTGTGCATCCGCTGCTGCTGTTACACCGCGTCCCTCGCATGTAGCGCAATCTTTTCCGAGTGTTTTCCCTCCACTTCAAAGAGCGGCAACGTATTAATAATTGGCCTGCAGTGACAGCCGGCGCTGCCGTGGCGCTGCCCTGCGTCATGTTTGGGGCCCGGCCAAGGCGGGTGTACCGGGCGGCGGTGGGCGGCGCGCAGCAGTGCAAACGGAAGTACGACTTTGTTGGAGCCGTTCAACAGGGCGACCGCCGTTCTATGATGATGTCCGCGGCTGCTGTTTGCTCCCTGTACGCATGTTTCACTACTTGTCATAAAGATATCAACATGGCCGCATTACTTTACGTAAATCGTAGTTTCATTTTCAAAAGTAGATAGTATTAATAATATTATTATTATCCGGATGGTTTTTTGCGGGGTCATAATCCAATCGTATATTCAGCAGTAAGACAGAGCCCTCAGTGACAGTCTGGACCCGTCTTTAGGGGGGTCGGTTCCGGACTTAATATGCCGCGCAAGCCGCAGATGAAAGTCAGACCACGTGGCAAACGGGCCCCTCATTTCGGCCGTTTTTCAGCCGCTGCTCTGTCCCAGCAATGCAGTGCCGGCCATCAGCGCGCTGGGGAGCGACGCGTCGCCACCTCCTCAACTCATTTCTCCGAGGGGGGTATTTCTCATCAAGGCTTCGAGCACTTACTGCACCCCCCCC